TATAAAAGGTCTAATAAATTATCAAAATGTGAATATTTTTGATGAAATAGTTTGTAAGATGTTAAATTTTAGAGCTCGATGCAATACGCAGGGATATAAGATCCAAACTATGGTTTACTTATCGCAAAGGATTTGTTCCCATTGGTGGCTGCAATTCTACATTTACGTCTGATAAGGGTTGGGGTTGCATGTTGAGATGTGGACAAATGGTTCTGGCCCAGGCCTTAATTACATTACATTTAGGTAATTGCTCATATGCAAGCAACATTTTAATTATATAAATAATAAATTTATTTAACGTCAATTTTCTTTTTCCTTTGTCATTGTCAAAACAAGTTTGACAATGTGTTACAAGACTATCAAAGATTGTTTGAACATATTTAAGAAAAAATTACTTTTACAATTCTTAAAATTATTTCTCTCAATGATTTCAAGAAATTTTTATTCTATATTTTCATATAGTTCATTTTTTCGTATATAAGTAATTGTTCCTATTTGTGTGTATTCTATTAAATGTAAGAAACTATATGAATAATTATAGAAATGATTAAATTATTATATAGAATTTTACTTATGACACAGGTAAAGATTGGCAATGGGTACCAGAAACGAAGAATAATACATATTTAAAAATTTTAAGGCGCTTTGAGGATAAAAGGGCTGCTGCTTTCTCTATCCATCAAATTGCATTGATGGGTGCATCTGAAGGAAAAGAAGTTGGACAATGGTTTGGTCCTAATACTATTGCACAAGTATTAAAGTATGTGTATTATTGAAGGAATTTTAAATTTAAGTAATATTTTATTTTTTAATAGTATCATATAATTATTAATATTTTTAACATTGCAAAAATTTTTATTTGAATAAAAATGTTACGAGAGAAGTATGTTTTATATAGTTTAATCAATTGTTTTAATAAATCAAGTTTTTATATTTTTTTTAGGAAATTAATTGTATATGATGAATGGAGCTCTCTCACTATACATGTTGCCCTAGACAATACATTAATAGTTAATGATATTTGTAAGTATGTAGTCGTTTTATTATTTTGTAGCAAAGAATAAATAACAATAAGTTACAATTGCATATATTCAAACAAGATATATGCCTTTAGTCTATTAATTAAGAAACAAGCATATTATATATATCAGTGTATCACTTAATATGTATAGTTTTACCATATACTTTCTCAAAGTTCTTTTGCAAAATTACTAATAAGTAAAAAATAAAGTGAAATTCACATATCATAATAGAAGTTTGCTATTATTGTGTGAAAAGATATTAAATATATTATAACTAAACAGTTATTTATATATTTTACATCATAATTTTGATTGATTTAAATGACTATACAGTGAGACAATGCAGAGTAGAAGGTGGTGTGACAGCAGAAGCAGATGGAGAAATTCCTCTAAGAGCACCTAGCCAATGGAAACCTTTATTATTATTAATCCCACTACGCCTTGGACTTAGTGAAATTAATCCTGTATACATTAATGGACTTAAGGTAAAAATCTTTGCATATACATACAATATTAAATTTAAATATTAATATATCAACGATAGAGTGTAAAAAAAAACACCTTGAAATATCTTGAAACATATGAAACAGTTTTCTATAAAACTGTTTCAGATAAAAGTTGTAGGATTTAAAAAGATCTATCTACCGGTCTCTTATTAGTTCAATCATTACGTCTTATCAGAAGTTGGTCCTCTTCATTTTTGTACTAAAAATTTATTTTATCATAAAAATGAAAGAGGAACAATCTCCAATGATCTTAACAAATATTATCCAGGTCATGATTCTAGACAGAATTTAAGAGGTTTTAGCTGTTGATCAAACATGGGTAATGCCAGTGGTATTGTAACTTTTAAGTTCTATAATGTGAAAAGTATTTAATGAAAAAATATTTTATTATAGTGTTTTGAAGAGCTTTCAAGGTAAGATACAAGAATATATAATGGAAAATGGGAGTTTTCACTTAAAAAATCATGACCTTAACAAAATCATCCAAGGTCGAACTGATAAGACCGGTAGATAGATATCTTTTTAAACTCTAAAACTTTTATTTAAAGTAGTTTTCTATTTATATTTTTTGGAACAGTTTTCTATTATTACTTACATTTTTTTGAGAAATTTTGAAGTATTTTTTTTCTCACCTTGTATATTTGTGTGCGTGCGTGCGTTGTATGAGAGTAAACATACAATATTTATATACATATAATAGTTTAAATTTAAATGCATGTTTTGGTTTAAAATGTGTAAATTTATAAAAAAAAATTTTCAGACATCATTCAAGATCTCACAATCTCTCGGAGTAATTGGAGGAAAACCAAATCTTGCTCTATATTTTATAGGCTGTGTAGGTTTGTAATTTTTATGAATTTTCATGTTTTACGAAGAGAAATAGACAAAAATAAAATATATACATAAAAAAATGATCGATTTTAGGAGATGAGGTGATCTATTTAGATCCTCATACCACTCAGAAATCAGGCAGTATTGAAGACAAGCTAAGCGAAGAAGAAATTGAAATGGATATTACATATCACTGCAAATCAGCTAGTCGTATTCCTATTACGGGCATGGATCCTTCTGTGGCACTTGTTAGTATATGATTTGACTTTTATTATAAAAGTCAGAAGAGATAAAAAATTAAGAATTGCTCTATGAGAGAGAAAGAGAAAGAGGGGAGGTGATAGGGAGAGAATATTGGTACATTATAACATTTTTAACATAGTATATATGAAATACAATTATAACTTAAAAGTATAATAACATATTGACTATTTGAAATATATTGGATTGTTATAATTTTTTTGTTACATTCTATAAATATACAAATATATACAAACTATATGTAATATACACACACACACACCACACACTATGAAGATTATATTTTATTAATATATTAAAAATAATCTATTCAATTTCAGTGCTTCTTCTGTGCTACAGAAAAGGAATTTAAGTCTCTATGTAAATCAATGCAAGAAGAATTAATTTTGCCTGAAAAGCAACCATTGTTCGAGCTGTGCACAGAACGTTTGGCACACTGGTCATCAGCAGATGATGCTGTTTCTGAAGCAGTAGCAGCTTCCAGTTGTAAGTACATATTTACGTTGTATTCCCTTATTCACTGTAAGTACTGAAAATCTGTAGTATACGTAACATGAACTATAGATTTTCAGTACTTACAGTGAACAACGGAATGCAGTCTTAGTTGTAGTTATAAACAGCAGCTTATAATTTTTGAAAGCGTGAAAACGCATATGAAATTTTTTTATAAGAAAAGTACGTAGAATAGAGCGTTTCAAAGTATTGTTCCAAAAATGATGCATTCTAATTGTTTTTTTATTAAAAATTGTTTTAAAATTACAAGTATAATATTTTAAAAACAATACAAAAAATTTTAAGTAAATACAAAAAGCTATTAAGAGAGCTTTATAATATTTTAAAGATTAAATATTATATAGGATGTTTTTTAAACATTAATATAATAATGCGATATTTGAAATATGTATTTATAACTGATTTTTCATATAATATAACATGTTAAGAAAAAATAAAAAGTTAATAATTTATAAAATATTACATAAAATAGAATTTAATATTTAAAAAAAGACAAAACGGATGGACTCTACTCTGGAATAGAAAGACAATCGGAGTATATTTATATATTACATACATGTTTTTGTAAATTAATGCAATAAACAATGTAAAAATGATTTGATTTTGCCTTTGGTTCTATAATTCCTATAAAATAGGAAACTTTATGTGCATATGTCTTTAGATTTGTCGGTTTTTAATAGTATTAAGAGTTTGATTATTGATAATTGATTTGTAAATAAAACGTGCAATTTATTTACAAACAATTATTATACAAATATAATTCTTTGTGCAGTTGTGGACTTTGAGCACATTGAACGTCAATACGACACATCTGATGAAGACTTTGAACTGCTTGGTTGACGTCCACCTAATCCATCTAGTATACCGACAAGATGCGAAATAACAATTAAATATTACACAATGGTGTTCTTAAAGACGATTTGTATTTTGAACTAACTGTAATGCAAACTTAAAACACATAATATTAACAAATTTACATGTGTATATTATATATTTGTACATATATGTACACATATATAATATATATAAAGTTAGATAATTAAATTGCATATGATATATATATATATATTTAAATATTTTGTACATATAAATATATATATAAGATTTAAGTTTATATTTACGCGATATGATAAGCATCAATAAATACATATGTTTATGCTTTACAGAATTTTTATATCACTGTGGTGTTACATTGATTATTTTTCATTTTCATTTGAGTATACATGTATAATATTTATAAAATAAAAGTGTGAAATAATTCTTTTAGATTTTGTGAATGTAGATAGTTATGAACTTAAAAAATGTGAATTAAATAAGAAAAATTGTACAATTAATTGTATAATTAAGGAAAAATTGGATATTTTAATTAAATGTAGCAGCTTCTTTCATAAACTATTTAAAGACTGATTCAGAGTTTAAATTTTAAATATTCAAATTATTTTATTATTTACACATACATTAAAATTTCTGTTCACTCATCATTACTACTCAGTGACATTAAAAGCTAGAAGATACAATAAAAAATTGTATTCAAATTATACATATTTGAAATGTTATATACAGAAATATTTTTTAATGAAACAATATTTAGAGAATTTATAAATAATCTGTATCGAATAAAAATTTCTTCAAAATAATCATATATTGAAAATTGTCTGTTTGTTTTGAAGAGAAATTAAATCATTAATTTTATTTTGACTATGCACAATTCATTTCCAGATATATAGTTATATTTATTATTAACGAAACAAAAAAAAAGTTTTCGGTATACGAATCGGTTCTATCGATTGTTGTAAATGTTATTTTATTGAAACATTTTCATATTAATATATTTTGCAAAAATTTTTATTGTATTTTCTCACTTTTGATGTCTGAGATAATAGTAGTGAGTGAAGAGAAAACCTTAATATACTATTTGCAATCGTTTGATTTTGTTCGTCTATTAATAACACAAAATGATCATTCTCAGTCAGACAATAATGAGTTCAAGTTCCACAATTGTTATATTACTATTGATTTTTCTAATACGTAAGTACTAAAGGATAAAAGTCAATTAATCAGACTATAGAAATACTTCCCGTGTCTTTGACAACCAAGGTCTTTGTATATTTCTTTAATATGAGTTACTATACGTACATACATACATACAAACATACATATATATAATTAATGTAGTAACGGAGCTAGAAATTGTAACGCTGATATATTGCAATGTATAAAAAATAAATTTGTAAGAAATAAATGTGTATACAAGTTTTTGATAAAAAAAAACATAAATTTTTGCAATATATTATATTTATATTTATTATAACTTATGTTTATTATAACTTTTATTATTGTTAAAATATTTTAGCATTTTGAAATGTTTATTCTATTATATATAAAGAAATTGAGAGTTAAGAAAAAAGTTTCTAAAAAGTTTTTGAAAATTTATATAATTATGTTTGAAATAGAACTAAAAAAATGGAAGGGTGAAAATCTCACGTTTCGTCACTGCACACGTTACTGAGTATATATTTTATAAAGAACGCAATTGGTCATTCTTCGTAGTTCTATGCTGTCTGTTATTCTAGACGCATACTCTTTTTGTGGCATACACGTGGACTGCGATAAGTATGTAAATTGTTATCGTAATACTTAAAACTTCTCTGTTATACACGACTAAAGTTTCCTTTAATTATTTCAATTTTCTTAACGATATGTATGCGTTATATATTTCAACGACAAATTAACATGTGTGGAAAGAAGAGTTTAATATTAAATTTCGGTTTGTAAATGGCGAATATACACATATTGTTATAAACAATTTCATAAATAGAATTTATAAAAATTTTTATTAAAGAATTGTATTAAACGAGAGAACGGTAGAATTAACTTTTTATTTTTATTTACTTAATATAATTTTAGAAAATCTGAAATTTTTATAGAGATTATTTAAAAATCTTTTATTTTTTACGCACAGACACTTATAGATTTTTAAAGATTTTTAAAAATTCATTGAAAGAACTTGGTTTTTTTTGTTATATACAAAAGTTGTCTTTCAAAATGCACTTGTTTGAATCTTATATTTTATTTATTTATATCATATATCTGACACTATTTTGGATACTTATATAAAATCTGCTTTCAATGATTAATGAATATTACTAGTTAAAGAATTTATCTAAAAATCTAGAGATAATACTGCATATATGCGTTTTAATTACTGTTTTCAAATTTACGTTTGTAAACATCTTTGATATTAACTGCTTTTATTAATTTTATTTAATTTTAAAATTACATTCTATAATTTGTTAAAATAACATATTCAATTTTTGTCGATTATTAATATATTTATCGCATTTGTTTCTCATTGCAGACTGCGCAGTTGCCTCATGAAAAGTATTTAAGTGATAGTTAAGTTTTTTTACAATTCACTCTTTTTGTCATTTGGAGTTACAAATAAGTTGATACGATGATATCAAATATAAAATCTATTCTGTTTGCGTTTATAATTATTATGTCATTCTCAGAAGGAAAATCACGATCCTGGCAGAACTTGCTTCTTGAAAACAATTTTATAAATATTTTGTTTCCTAAAGAACCTGGTTTAGTGAGAGTAAGAAGAATGGATCAAACCGAAAGAATAGATAACACAAAAATATTGGATTTTGTGTGTACAAAATTATTTTTTATTATGTTATTAAATATATCTTGTATTTATTAAGTTCATTTCATTAATAGCTCAGCTGTGAAAAATATAATTTAAATTATATATACACAACTTAACTATCATCATTAAACTATAAACAGTCTTTATAAATCTTGTTATAAATTTTGTTTACATTTAGATGATATCATAATGATAGAGATGTAACGACAATATCCTATATGGATGTTATATACGATTCTCTTACATAGGTTGGCATTGTAGAACAATATGATTATCCCGCTGAAGAACATAATGTCACAACAGAGGATGGTTATAATTTGATAATACACAGAATACCTGGAAGTCCATTATTAGATAATAATAAGGGAAAAAAGGAAATTGTTTTTATCCAACACGGTATTTTGGCTTCATCTGATAGCTGGATATTGCACGGACCTGGTAAAGATCTTGGTGTGTATTTGTTATTATATATACCATATCATAACATATGATTCAATTCAAAACACCGTGTACTTTAAAATTTTATCATACAATGTTTTCTCTTTTTCACTTTTGTGAAAAGATTTTACTTTCAAATCCTATAAATTTGAAATTATTAATAATTTCTTTCATAAATGCGTTCTTAAATTTGTTTAAAAATTATTTTGTTTAATACATAAATGCCAAACCAATAATATTTAGTAGATATTATTTTAATATATAAACACATTATCTAATTGTAAACTGTTAAAAATAAAAACGTTTTCCACATATATATATATATATATATATATATATATATATAAATGTAATTAATGAGAATGTAATAATTGAATATAATAATGAGATATTTTTTGTGTGTGTGATGTTTAGAAAAATTGATTTTTAGAAAAAACAACGAACATTTATATTTTGTTGAGTTTAGCACATTTTACATATAGTGTGTATTAATTCATTATTATCTTGTAGCATTCTTATTGGCAGATCAAGGATTTGATGTATGGATTGGAAATGTGAGAGGAAACACTTACTGTAGATCGCATGTGAATATGACGATATACGATCCTAAATTCTGGCAGTTTAGGTAAAATATTACATTAAAAATTTTGAAGAAACATTATTTAAAGGATGTTTTGAAAAATCCATCGAAGTAGAGAAACCAACCGCCAAGAATTGCACGCAAGAGTAAAATACTCTTAATATTATTGGCCGAGGAATTTTATGATTGTACTGACTTGTACTAAGCTAGCATACTGTTTTTTATTCCTGCACTGTCTGAACTAATGCGTACGGTGCAATAAGTTAAAATGAAACAAGCGTATATTTATTTCACTTCAACTTATTACACTGTGTGTACTAGTTCAGACAATGCAGGAACAAAAAATAAACTCAGTATATATTATCGACATAAAAACAAATCTGATCTATGGACAAAAAAAGAGGAGTGCAAAGCGAGCTCCTATGTTTTTCAACTTTTATTGTTATCATATTATTTAAATTTTTTAATATTTTAGCACAATCTAGCACAACCTAGCGCAATTCAATACAATTCTTAAAATACGTTCATTTTAAAAGTGCAATGGAGGCTAATCTTATATATATAAACGATTTAAATACTGTCTAAAAATGAATGATTTTTTATGTACTGAAACAAAACAACATAGTAATCGTTACTTGTAATGAATACAGTATAATTTATCGAGTAATAAAAGTCAGCAATTTCTAAAAGAATATGTATATAGATATAACTAATATGAAACTAAAAAAAAATACTTACAACGCGTTCTTTAATAAGCGTTATAAGAATACTGACGTGATAAGAATTACTCGAATTATAGTACACTAAAAATCTTCGAACTGATTTCACGGATTATAAAATTTTTTTTAAGTAATTCACTCCAGTCTTATTTTGTACATACATATGATGAACTATAAAACTTATAACAAAATGTAAAATAAGTAATTTTCTTCAATTTTGTGAAATCGATTGCATTGCACGCGCGTTCTTTTTGTGCATATTTTAATTTTGTAAAAAAAAGAATTTGCAATCTGTAAAGCCAGTTTGAAAATTTTTAGTACACTGTAGTTTCCGTCACACCAGTATTCTTTTTAAAGTTTGCATAATATTCTCTTATCCGATTTTTATCAAGATTATAAATATTTTTCTTTCATTTTTTTCACTGTAAAATAATTGTGTGCATTTGTTAAAGAGAAGGAGAGGAGATAAGTAAATATTGTTTGTAAAGTATATGTATTATCATAATTATATTATTTTTCAGCTTTCACGAGATTGGAACAAAAGATCTGCCGGCAATGTTTAATTACATTTTTAATTATACGGGCCAAAAAGATTTATATTTTATCGGTCATTCGATGGGGACTACTTCATTATTTAGTCTTCTGTCAACAAAACCAGAATACAATACAAAAATAAAAGCAGCTATTTGTCTGGCTCCAATTGCTTTTTGGATGGAAATATCACCTACATTCAACGCACTTTTTTACAGTTTCCCAATAATAAAGGTAAATACCAAAATCTGCAACTTTTTATTGTAGTATTTAAAGTACAATCAAAATTAATCAATTATTTATTTTTATTTCTTAATATGCTAAAAACATTGCTAGCTATTATAAGCTAATACTCTTGAATGTTTCTTTTATATGTTCCAGGAAATTCTAAGAGAACGTGAAATATATGATGTTTTACCACAATCTTTAATGACTGTTACAGTAGCAAGACTGTTGTGTAATGATAATGTAATGACTCAGTTTATTTGCACCACTATATTCTTTTTTATCGTCGGTGCTGATCCAACACAACTCAACACTGTAAGTTTTATTACATAAAGCTTGCGGCACACGATGCTTTTTTCTGCTGGATTGTTAGTTGGACCAGATATTTGCTATCAGATTGGCTGCGATACTGGCACTGTCAGTATCGTAGCTAATATGGTTGCAAGATTCTCATCCAGCTAGTAATCCAGCAGGAAAACAAGCATCGTGTACCGTTGGTTTTATAAAAAAAAAATAAACAAATCAAATAATTAATGTATATAATGTGTACGTATGAATACTTTTATTGTATTATGTAGATTTTCTAACGTTTTATAGTTATATAAATTTATATTATAAAACAAAGATGAGAAAAACTATATCTACGCTCTGTCTTATTTCTCTTATTGATTACCGTATGACATTTTCTATGAATTATTTCTGTTATAGACAGCCCTGCCAAATTTACTTTCCTATCTTCCAGCCGGTTCTTCTGTACAAACATTCGAACATTATTACCAAAATGCTCAGATAAGTGAGTATTCCCTTTCGAATAAAGTAATATTTTAATGTATAATGAAGCAATAAAAATTTTCATTGTTTTTCCATCCATTTAAAATGAGATATCCAAATTAATTTAGAATTGTGCATATATATATAGAGAGAGAGAGAGAGAGAGAGAGAGAGAGAGAGAGAGGGAGAGAGAGAGAAAGCCATTTAATCTTATTTTACAAATGTACTTTTAAGATTTGAATACATATTCAGATATAAATTTTTACGATTGTGATGTCGATTGTTGCAGATAATTTTCGAAACTATGATTATGGAACAGCTGAAAATTATAAACGATATAAACAGAAAACACCACCAAGTTATGATCTCAAAAAGATTACTGCTCCGATGATTTTATTTTATGCAGCAAATGACATGGTTGCCGTAAAACAGGTGAAAATTTAGTTTTTAATTGCTTAATTTTTACTCATTAAACTATTTTTATATAAATATAACGGAAACGGTCAATATAAAGAATCTGATTAAATGCAAAATAAAAGGAACATAAGTAAAAAGGAAAACAGTTGATTTATATATATAGATAATTTATTTTCTGTTCTTAATATATTTAAATTATCTCATTATTAATACTGTCTTTGTGTTTACATTTTTGATTTTCAGAATGTGTTTGAACTTTACAAACGCTTACCAAATGTTCGTCTAATCGAAAAAGTCCCATATGAATTTTTTAACCATGCAGATTATATATGGGCAATTAATGTGAAAACTCTTTTATACGATCGTATATTAGAATTAATACAAAAATGTTATACTAGTCAAAGTATATCTATAATATAAATTTAATTAATGAATATAAATTAAATGGAGAAAAAAAAATCCTAATTCTTCTTCCAGATAATTTGAAATATTGGTAAACGAAGAATTATTTGAAAAATTAGTATGTGCGGCTGTGTATGCACGCGTGCGTATTTAATTTGTATAAAATTTGCCAACTCTATAATTATTAATTATTTTGTTAGACTGCTGTGTGATAAGATTAAAATAAGAACACATTTAATATTGAATTAATATTAATTAAAATCATAAAAAAGATTAAACTATATATAGATTGTGCATATTTTTAAAGGTGTATACTTTGCATATCTTAATTTTGTATCAGAACCCATCTAGTCTTGTTGTGTGAAATCACAAATCAGTGCTACGATATTAATCGAATAATCTCCATATTTTAAGATTATTTCAAGTAAGAATAAAGAGAACATTTATTCAAATAATACATTGGTGTAGCTCCGATTTGATTCCGACATTTTTATATATTAAATACATTACAAATACTTATTTTTACTTAGTTATTACAAACATACACATATATATTTACATTACATAACAAATATACTACAAATCCAAAGAAAAAAAAGAAAAGTCAATTTTATTTTCTTTAACTGTAGCAATTTTAATTAATTTTATAAATATGTGTGTGTAGGTGTGTGTGTATGTATGTGATTAAATAAGAAATGAAATAAAGATATACTTTTACAAAGTGAAGAGATATTTTAATTGCATAAGATATATGAAAAGCTATCCATCTGCATCGCAAAATATCATTAAAGCTTCTTCATTCACCGCTATAATCGTACTGCATTGAATTATACAATAAATGGAGGTTGAATTATAATTCGATATGTAATTTCTTACTTTAAGTTCTACAATTTGATAGAATTAAATTAGAAATCTTAAATTTATCAAAATTATATGTTAAATTATTATTTAGATATGCTAAAAAGCATCTAGAAAAATGTACTTATTGTCTAGAAAATGTATAGAATAAATAACTTAAATTTGTATATCTAAATAAAATTTTGTAAAAAACAATTTGAATAGCTATTTCTTCAATATGGAAAATACAAATTATCATATATTTGTTACATAATTAATATTACATATCTTTTAATTAAATTAAAACTTGATATCAACTGATGAAATGATTAATTAAAATTTAATTTATTATCTATTATGTAATCCTTCAAAACTTGATTCAATAATTAACAAACTATTAATATTTTATTTTTATCCTTTTATTAACAAAGTCAATATCAAATCAATAAAAAAATTTTTTCTTTTTTTCTCATTATTTGTTAGTTGATTTATTTTGACATACTTTGTATTATAAATTGTATTATAAACTCATATTATAAATTAAAATCAGAATGTTTGTTTATTCGACAAAAAAAAATATATTCATGTTTAAAGTTTCATTAAAGATATTTGTTCATGTATATCGTATCTCATAAATTAATTATATACGAGCTTGTATATTTTCAATTATTTAATTTATCGAGAAAGAGCAGTTTTTCTCTATTTTTAATATATTTTTCAATTTTTACGTGTTCAATGATTTAATGCATATATGTAGAATATAGAAATGTCACGCGTATACAATCGACCTAGAGGAATAAATTAAGAGATAATACAATATAAAGGCTCTCTACAATGAGTCATTGCCTAAGCTTCAAATCTTAAGTCATAAGATAATGACCAATCGTAGTCAACTTTTCTTCTCGTATTTGACTGTGAATGATCAATTTCTTGAGGCTTAAGGATTACTACATCTATTGTATTTGCGAGCTAAGATTTAAATAGTGGCTTATTGTAGAAAGCTCATAATAGAAGGTACAAGAGGTAAAATCAAATTTATATACAGAAAAGCTCAATTGATTAAAAATAATATTTAGTATTAACTGTACTAATAATACGCGAAAGTTTACTTACGTATTTGTGTAAGTACGAGTATGTGCGTGTACGTGTTTTTAATTATAGAAAACAAATCATAAAATATTTAAATTATTTGCATATAATGTCTTATATATATATATATATATATAATATATATTTATCTCACTTATGTGCATGCATTATATCTTAAAACATACTGCTTTACGGTTTTATAAGCATAAGAAATAAGAATCTTTATAAAAAAATTATTTCAATATACATGTCTTGCTAATATAACAAGTTTCTTTTTATCAGTAAATGAGTTTTCTGCTCATTACGGTTCAAATTTTTATGCGTAATTTATCTATTTATTATGTAACTATCATATCTTGACTGTATTATTTAACAAAGAACACATGCGACCATGTGGATCGCCATCTTAGGAAACAACATGCTGCAGCAAAGGCAATTTTTTCGGTACTAATTATCAGCAGTCGCATTCAAGTGTACAACATCAAATTTGTACCTTGTCTTGACGGTTCAGTTTCTCAGGTTTCTCAAGTTTTTAAATCTTGGCAATATAATCAGTTCTAATTAACATTTTTTTTCACAATGTTTAATTATCTAAAATGTATAACTTCTACGGCATTTTAGACCGTGCATTTCAACAGTGTTAGCCAAATGTTACAACGAAGTATCCGATGGTGGTGTGCTTTCATGATGGCTAATTTGACTTAGAGAATGTTGTAAAGCATCAGGTGTTAGCCATTCCTTTGGCAAACAACGTTGGAGAAACGGTACACATGAACTGAAATAAGCCAGACGATTTACCCAGCCAGGTATTTCCTGTCCACATAGAATCTAAAATACATTATATTGAGTTTCGTTGTACTTTCCATGTAATTACTGTTATTATTGTTAAAGAAAGTAACGCACTAATGTGAACTGACTGCTGAAGTGATTACAATTTTTATTCATCAGATGATAACGGTCTCCTCTAAAATCTTTGCCTAATTCCGTAATAATTCTTGAAACATCTTCTTCCGTAAAATCTGTATATCCAATATGAACAGATTGTCTATAAAATAAAAAAATCATATTAATTTTTCATTTGAGAGAATATATAAACTTGATTTACATTTATATAAAAACTTTACCTGTATCTAAACTGTTCACCTAGTTCGTCAGCTACTCTTGGAGTAATTTCAAAAATGCCACTTTTTGGTTGAGCATGACCGCCATATGCATATTCTACAGTAGAGACATATCTAATGTAGTGTTCAATTTTTGTTTTTTTTTTTTTGTAATTGCACATACTTGCTCTTTTTCTTGAATATAACACATACCTGTTCCATATATTTCTACTCCAGAGTGAAATACACCGAGACCAATAGGTGTAGTATATTCATTTATCCAATACTATATACAATAGGACATATAATAAATTAAATCAAATATGTTTCAAAACACAGTGTCTGATTATTTATACTTTTTATGAGCAACATAGTTTGTTTCTTATAGAAAACTGATTAGCCATAAATTTATAAAAATGATCATTTAACAAAATGCAATTCACAATAATATTAATTTTACTAATGATATATTGAAAGTATAATAACTTACCATGTCATAAACATTAAGAATAATTGGCTCACGTGCCATTTTTGGGATTAATTCCTCACTATCTTGTGGATAACCCAAACAACTGGGGAAGGAGAGGTTACAGTTAAGGCCAGACGAAAACATCATTCAAAACTTTGTATTAATCCACAGATCAAAGTTGGCTATTAATGTTTTAATATACCTAACAAATAAATATATAATTTTATTTTTCTATATAGTCTCTACATTCACAGAAGAAATATAAATTAATTGCTATATGACGATTGGTTCAAGAAGATAAGAACTTATATAAAAATTGTAAAAAATTGATTTTTAGATTATTCTCTACAAATGTTGAAAATATGTTTACATTTAATATTTGTATAAATGTATAATAATATTCAGGATATGAAGATTATTACTATGTAGTGATCCATTATTAATGCAACATTTCATAAATCTTGTCATTTGTTCCATCAAAATAAAGAGTGCAGTAATACTGATTATCAATGTGTTCTTTGTTTTCCTTTAAGTAAACAGTAAAGTTCACAAAACATTAGCATTAACAATGGATTATGATATGGTGAAAACCTACAAATCTTTTGGCATCTCTAAAGAAAATATCTTCGAAAATAATACCAAGGATAATAATGCATATACATACACATATAATAACTCACTTTTAACTTTCCATTTACCAACAAATTCTTTGAGCAATTTAGAGTTGCTTTCATTAATCATGACAAGTAAATACAGATAAATATCAAGCAAAATACCTTATAATGTAAACTCAATACTAGCATATGTAATGCTTTGTGTTCAATTACTAAATATATCCATTCTTATAAGATTATATTTTATTATTTACCTATTTGGATTTTATTCTTTCTTTCTTTCTCCCTCTCCCTCTCTCTTGATTTCTTAATATTAAAAAGTTGTATTTATATTAAATATGGCACATTATTTTGATATAGTCATCTTTACAACTGGAACATATAAAGTTGATTCACTTTATGTTTGAAACACGAAAATTTTCTTCGAGTACTAAAGAGTCACCTTTGAAGAATATTAGATATCACTGTATTTGAGCGATCGTCTGCTTTAACAACGTTTCAATACAAATCAAATATAAAATAAGAAATATATGTTATTCGCCCAAGTAGCATCCTATTAAATTCTTTAAAGTAATGCACAGCGTTCAAAGTTTACAAGCTTATTATACAGATAAGTAATTTGTTTTTTATTATGAGATTAATATCAACATTGATCAACATAGATTACTGTTAAAAATTTTGCAAACGATTCTCCAGCGATAATTGTCCGAAACAGATAAACGTCACTTGTCACTGCTGTTTCTTGCTTGGTCTTTTGCATCTCAACATACATAAGATGTGTTCATATGTTTGTCAATCCGCGTCATCTAGCGAAACACTTATAAATCTTTTCTGCAAGCATCTAGTTGTATAATTCACACTAGCGATCGCGTCTGCGTCGTGTTTGTATCCTTGATCAATCAAAAAACAGCTGCCGTAAGATAAATGTCCTAGATATATAAGAGAATGCGACTGCTGTTAAATGTTCTGATTGGTTATTGCAATTACATGATCTAGGTCTTGAATAAATCAAATAATTATAATCAAAATTGCATTGTCCCATTTCAAAACATTCGATTGCTCATTTACTTACGATCTTAAGCTCGATTTACAATTGCGAAACTGTGTTCCAAATCTTATTGGCTCCATTCAGCAGGAAAAGCAGCTTTGCAACTGTATAAAATTACAATACGATAACCGCTAATGAGCGCTCAGTGCAATGCACATAGTTTAATTTACACCCAAATTAAAATATCGATGTCATAAAATTAGCTAATCATAACTATTTCTCTGAAGAATTGAGTGACTGTGATTGGCTAGTTTCATAAAATCGATGTCATAACTTCGGCATAAATCGAACCGTGTAAACGTAGTCTGTGATTACCGCACTAGTATATATACGCTTGTATATACGCAATTTACAGCTGATTTTGTCAATGTGTCGTGATGATTATCTTCTAACAAAACTTGTAGACGAGCGTGAATGATCAATCCTCTGATTTTTAAAAAAATTCGAGAGTAACAATGATGGGGCCTTTACAGATAATTGCGCGAACCGGAAAAATCGGTATGGTAATTTATATGAATTTTGTGACAAAACTGATTTTAATTGTTTCTTCTATTCGTTCTCTTTCTCTTTTGAATGTTTTCTATTTAGTGACATAAACCACTATCTTTTTTGGCTTTAGTAAATAATAAACGACTTATATTGATTTACGTTGACTTACTGCACTCTTTGTGCCTCTTTATTGGAATGTAATGCTTTATATTCATTTTAATTAGTACATTAGTTGATCCTGAACAATGCACAAATTTTAATGTTTTTTCTTATTTATTTTTTTAATATATTTAATTAGATTGTTAATTTATAAAAAAAATTGTTGAATTTGTAATAAAAAGAATTTCTTAATATTTACAATAAGTAGTAATAGCAATTTTAAGAATTATAAATGTTTCAGCTCCAGGTTTCCTTAGGATTGTACCAAATGGTATAAACATATGTTTGAGTCGAAGCCAATATTACTATGTAAACAAAGATAAGGATAAAAACTGGACAGATATTATGGAAGCTGCAAGTACACATATGCTTTTTCTTGAAATTTTTCGAGGAATGGGAATTGTTATGTCAAATATATTTAGAGAACCAGCAACGATAAACTATCCTTTTGAAAAAGGACCTTTGAGTCCTAGATTTAGAGGAGAACATGCTTTAAGGAGGTACGTGTAGATACATAAACCAAAAATATATTATCTTCTAAATCTTTTTATATATTATGTTTATTTTGATATTTTAGTATGATTTATATGTGATAATAATTAATAAAGTATAACTTAAATGTAAATTACAATTTATAGAATAAGATAATATATAACTTTTATATTTTTAAGACATTTATCTTGTGGTTTAGCATTAATGTTATAATATAAAGAGAAAAAACAATACATTTTTCCAAATACAAAATATTTAAACGGTAAATTTATTGAATTTTTTGAGGATTTTTTAGGTATCCTTCTGGGGAAGAAAGATGTATTGCTTGTAAATTATGTGAAGCAATATGTCCTGCACAAGCTATTACAATTGAGGCAGAAGAAAGGGCAGATGGATCTCGACGGACTACAAGATATGATATCGATATGTCGAAATGTATTTATTGTGGCTTTTGTCAGGAAGCTTGTCCAGTAGATGCTATTGTTGAGGTAGATGCTACTGTTAATAACGTGACAATAGTTGGAATGAGTAATGTCGAAACAAACTTATTTTATATTAATAAATGAATTATTTTACAGGGTCCTAACTTTGAATTTTCCACTGAAACTCATGAGGAAATGCTATACAACAAAGAAAAGCTTCTAAATAATGGAGATAAGTGGGAATCTGAAATTGCTAGTAATATCCATGCTGATCATTTGTATCGTTAAACAATATTGTGTTGTAAGGTAGTTTTAATGATCAGGTAAAAAAAGTATGGAATTAAATATTTATCAAAGAAAATTCCCTACTACTAGATATGTGAATGTATAACATGTTCAATCAAATAAAAGGATATATATAGTTGATATAATTATTTAATTTGGCTACTACATTCAAAAATCAATAAAATTGAGGTTATTCGACGTGTTTTTGCATGAAATGAAAAAATGTTGCAGAAATAAGCGTCGCTCTGTCCCAAGAATTGAGATATTAATAATCGTTAAATTTTAAATTTGACGACTTCAGGTTAGGAAATTTCTTAATCTGAATTTTTTTACTCTGAAATTACTATATTATCAATAGGGCTAAAAGTTATGACATTATCGACAGTAGACTCCAGAATTTCCTGTATTATCGATTGGGTTTATTATAGTTCATAAAATGTGTCACCAAACTCGTAAACACTTTGCGCAAATTCACCATGAGTGGAACATAAATCCATCGGAAAATACAAAGAAGAAGGAATTCTCATGTTATTCTTTGAATGAGAACTCTCTTGTCTAATTTTTTTGGTTATAAATACACTGTAAAAATAAATTGTATATAAGTGCGAAATATTTAACTACGTTCGCAGAGTGTAATATCATTTGGATAGATAAATTATATTTTTTGTTGGGAAACAATTTGTTTTTAATTATATTTCAAAAGTATGACTGGGTTATTTGCATTCTGCATAGTCTTTTTAATTCTTTATTGTTTTTTTACTCGGTAAGTGTGTCGAAATTAATTGAAAAATAATGTTATCTTAGAATGAAGTAGTTGTATATCATGATTGTTCAACAGAGTCGTACCAAGGCTGTTGGCATGGATAGTGAAACGTCGTTATAAAATTCATTTACGAGTAGGCCACATATCTGTACCTTATTTTATCTTCCGTGATGTTAATGTAACTAAAAATGGCTTTACATTGGTGAGTGTTTCAAGTCACTGTATAAATGCATTATAATATAAAGTGATATAAAAGCAATACTTAATTTTAGCAAATTGAAGAAATAAGCATACGAAGCAGTTTACTTAGTAGCGATGTAGCAAAACTGTTAGCTGTCGTTATGAGGGATGTCAGAATAAATAAGGATATTCCAGTTGGTCCAACATGTAAGATAAAGCAGTCCAATGAGTTATTAGATTTTCGAAACAAGAAAATACCTCCAATTATAATAAAATGTGTCCAGGTACATGTACAATACTAAAGTTTCAAGTTATCATATTTTTCTATGTACTATCAAATTTGACACTAACTATGTATACACTCACATAAAAAAACAATATATATATATATATATATATATTGATTCATTTCAGTTCACAGCTGTGCATGTAGAAAATATTAATCTACTGGCTCTTGGCAATGGATGGTTGGCTAATGGAAATGCAGAAAGTCTAAGTTTGGATGGTAGTATTGTACATGGTGCACGCACACTATTAGCATCTGCTTCTATTGTTGGTGGAACTATGAAACTATTACGACATGCTTCTGATGCATGTCTCTCTCAAATAACATTTGCTGGAACGGTAGAAGCTACGTTTAAAGCTCAAGGAGAACTTTCGGTTGAGGTATATCATTGAGCTCTTGTTACAACATTTAAAAATTGACAAAGGAAAAGATATAGTCTTTTGATAACAAAAAGTCTGTTTTGTTACTAAAATTATAAACGAAATCTATTTTATACCTTATAGTAGTAAACAGATTTTTAATAAGTAAATCTGATTATTGAATTAAGGAATTTTTAAAAGGAATCAAGTGGGATCTAATTTATAGACATTATGTATTGGAGTGACGCAAACTGAAGGATCTGGCGGTACAGGTCTTATTCAGTTCTTGAGAGATATAAGTTCGCCAAGTACTACAGTTTGTACATGCAGCAACGTACATAACAATTCCTCTAATAACTTAATGACTAGAATAGCACCTATTTTGCCAAAAGTAAGTCTCTTGATTGTAAATAAGCAGTAAAAAATATTATTAATCACACTATCTCTGTATACTTGTAGGATTTTACTTTGAAAGTTGGTAATTTGTTGGTAATAGCTGGTAGAGAGGATAGTAATATGGTAGGTTTGGAAGGTACCTTACGAAGTCTTCAAGTTCATGCAAAGTTTCAAGCTAGTAGGACACGATTGAATTTTACTGTAAGCCTAGATGGTTTGTGCGTCCGTGGAAAGGTTCCTATTTTAACTCTACATTCGCTGTCGATCGATACAAAGGTAAGAATTGATAACATTCGTGTGAATGTAGACGACACGAAAAAAATGAAAATTTTTTATCACACTTGCTCATGCTCAATTTTCTACAGATGGAGGAGAATATATTATGTGTTGACATACAATTGAATAATCTTTCAATACTGTATGATCATAGGGACTGGGAACTGTTGCTGTACAGTAATGAGAATGACATTTCAAAGCCTGTTAGCAACATATCATTAAAAGATAGATTACCAAGTTTTGAAATAGCATTAAATACCGAGCTGTATGATTCTTCGTTGAACATAAAATTACCGGATGTTCAAGAAGCATCTTGTGGCGTTGCACATATGAAATTTGCCCTGAACTCGTCTACAGGTGGGCTGGACTTTTCCTCTTACTTTTGCCTAAATAAATCATGAACTGAATCGTTAATTTCCGCGACATATTTTCTGTAACAGACAAAACCAAAAATCTAAATACAGAATTGGTCGTCGAATCTTTATATTGTGCATTAAATGGCGCCAATAACAACATCTCCGAAACTTCTCATCAATGGGGCAGTCCACTTTCTATTGGAGTATTGTTAGCGACAACTCGTAGTAATGCCATAGGAATTGCAGTTGACGCTCTTGTAACAGAATGGAGTTTAGAGCTTGCGAAATTTCTTGAGCAAGCTTACAAGTAATAATAAAATCATTTACTTATGCGATATTAATACTAAAATACTGAAAAATATAGCGCGCAAGTGAAATAATTGTAAAAAATAATTCTAGGTCTTATAATAAGTATCGTCAACCAATGGAAAAAAAGAAGGATATATCATGCAATTCTATCCAATTGAATCTTAAAGCAACAAACTGTAATCTATTCTTTATCGCAGAAAACGAACGTGAGTATCTAATAATGTCACACTATCACAAAAAGAATTCTTTTTCATGTTATGCGCACTTATTTTCAGTATCTATAATGATGCGTTTGGATGTGGCGACTGTGGAACAAAACGCAAAGCGATTTATAGGCGTAGCAGAAGGTATGAGTGCAATAACTCTCAACAAAAACGAGCCAATCATGTGCCAACATGCACAAGCTTTAACACATCCGTTTCTGGCAATACGAAAGTGCAAAGCTGCAATTAGTTCTGACGCCGTAAACATAAGTCTTGATGGAACTAATTTAGCATGGAGTCCGAATTTACATCTTCGCTTATTGCAATTCTGGGTGGAGTCTGAAGATTTTAGATCTATTATCAAAAAAGAAATGAGTGTGACTCGTATCGAAGGTATCATTGAATTAATGCTAGGAATTGATCGCAGTCAATATTTTAGTATAATTACTCTGACAAATAATAACGCAGAATAGTCACTGTCAGTTTATTTTCAGAAGTGCAGAAAAAGAAACGCGTTTTGGATTTATTAGCCACAGGTGGAATTACCGTCTCGATAGATATTTCTACTAAACATTTCCTAATACTGACGTCCGATCAACTGCGTTGGTCGCAGGGTGAATGGAGGCTTACCTACGTTCGAGTTACCCTAGACATGGCTGATGTAATTATGATCGAAGGTTTTGAATTGATTAGAATAGTCGATAACGCAGAAGTGCGAGCAGAAAGACAAAGTAACGAGGGTTTTGTATTGGATTGGAATGAGTGCTGGGCAGTGAACATCGATTCCATTAAAATTTGTTTTCCGTATGAGCATCAGTTTACAAACGCGATACAAAATGAATTACTTAGCATTAGAAAATGGCTGAAAGAAATTCATTCCTCGAGCATACCTAAACAAGAATTTTTGCCCTGTGATTTCATCGTCAAAATCAAAGAATGGACATTCGAGCTCAGCGATGATCCATTTGAGGTACGTCTGCGCGACAATTACGAGCTACTGGAGGACGAGTACAAAGAGAGCTTGAAACGACAGGCGATGTTGGATACCAAGGTACAGGAACTTTGCCGCGCGCACTTGTTGTTACCGCAAGGAAAAGTCGAAGAATTATACGCCAGCTTAAATAAGAAAAACGCAGAGATCTATGTGCAGAGATGGAAACAAATGCAACGAGCGAGTCCCGCGAGGACTCGATTATTCGCCTGGACTATGTTGGATTTGGAGATTTTAGCCTTAGCCGATCCATCGATAAATGGTACGGAGAAGGCGGTGAGAGCACTCCGGGAGATGGACTCGGAAACACCTTGGCCTGAGGATGGTCTGGAATTCAACGCCGTGTGGGTCCGCGGTATCAGTTTGAAATGCGCCGAGTGGAAGCTCCAACTTCGCGATTTCCCGCAGCCACTGCTTCTGGTGGAAAACTTGAATGTATGGGGCAGATTAGCCGGGGCAGAAGCTTTAGCACCACCGAGAGCGAAGAGAACTGTTAGAATTGAAATCGGTGCGCCTTGGGAGGATATAGTGGTGGAAAGAGGAATGACATCTCTTAAGTATTATCACGATCTCAATTGGGACATTGATAAATTTCGATATGCGTTCGGCCCATGCTGGGAGCCGGTGATAGCGCAGTGTAATCTCAGTTTCGAAAAGATCCTTCATCCGTCGAGAGATCCGAGTCCACCGTTACCGTTCTGGGATAAAATGCGACTGGCTCTTCATGGTAGACTGACGCTCTGTGTAAAACAGCTGACAGTACTATTGCATGGCTCTTTGGATCCATATAACACGACAGAAGAGATGGAGCTCACATGGACCGGACTAGAGCTCGACTGGACACAAGGAAAGATCATTATTAAGGGTGATCTCGATGTATATGTGCGTACAGCTAGTAAATACGATGACTGCCGATTATTACATTTGCCTAACGTCAGATTGAGCGTTAAATTAGCATGGGTATGCCTAGGTGATCCGCGTGATCATCATGCCGCTGTACCCTGCGCCCCAGATCGATTACCCGAATATTCAAGTAATCAGGAACACGATTCGTTTAGGGCGTTCCGCTCTCAGAACTTGAACGTTAGCCTCTCATTGGAAACCAAGCCAACTGGCTCACCTACGTTAACTAGTGCGCCAACGGCACTACTCTACGGCAGCACGTTGAGATGGTTCGAGAATTTGAAATTAATTTTGTCAGGCGCGACGAGGCCCACAAGAAAAGGTCCATTGTTCAAAAACATTCGGCCCAGGAAAAAACAACTCAGCAGACATTACAGGAAGGTTCGGCTGACCTTAGCTTTCCATCGTTTTCACGTCAACTACTGGATGTCGTTCGCAATGCAGAGAGGTTTCGAGGTGACCGGCGGTCGAGTCGCCTGCAGCTCGGAGCACAATCTTGCATTACATCCGATTGATGATGGGCTGATCCATCGACCGCGGGCAGAATGGTCCATCATATATATGAATTGCGAACTAAGCGACGCCGAGATTTGGCTGAAAAGCGCACTACAGGAAGACGAAGTGGAAAGCGCATCGCTGCGTCAGCCTGTCGAGAAATGTTACTGCTTGAGCGTGGCTCGTGTTAGCTATGGCAGAGAGGCGATGGTTGCTGGGGTGAGTGGCGACACGCCGATTCATAGATTGGTCGTGCACGACCTACGCGGCGCCTGGACCAAGACCAATCGTGATGTTGCCTTCGCTCTCTTCGACTCCTTTATCAAGACGCAGCAACTAAAAAAGAATCTGTCGACTGCAACGCTAAAGGGTTTCCACAGGGACAACAGCTCGACGCTTAATCCACATAAAAACCGTGCTGGCAGACCGATTGTGGTCGATCAACAAGGTACCTCCACGCAAGTCGTAACGCCGTCGTCTTCCGTGAAACCGCAACAAGGCGAGGCGGCGGGAATGTTGCAGAGACTGATAGCAGAGGCCACAAACAAACCAGTGGCTTTCAGCGACGATTTGTCGGTGCAAACTAGAGGACAGCAACTGCGCGGGCTAGCGGCGTGTCACCAAGACGACGTCTTGCATAAGAATTGGCTAAGTATGTAATACTTAACGTCTCGTCCTCTATGTAAAAACATTATCCGTAGATGCTAATAAATGATTTTTGCGTGAAGCGAAAGATTGTTTGAAACAAGGACAAGGGCATAAGTTAAAAAAACGAAAAATTTAATAGATAAAATTCTTTTCAGTTGCTCTAGTAAACAGTCAAGTGCTGTTGAAGGGCATCGAAACTCGAGGATATGTGATTCTCTCGGCAGCCAAAGCGGAAATACTACAGAGAGTTCACCATCCGGTTTGGAAGGAGCGATCTCTCGTTCCGAAAACGACTTGGGTTGGCTCGTTAGAATGCATGCAATATTACGCTACTGTAAGCGCGAACATCGACGACAACATAGATGACAATATCATGTGGCTGACATTGGATAATATTCAAGTACGTTAGTATTACGTGGAACGTAAACGGTATTGTGCACAGAGCAAGCTGTACATTACTGTGTATTTTACTGTGTTTTAGGAGAAAGATTCTACTATCATAGCCGGTCTACCGGACGTTCCGGCTTTGGTGGGATCTGGTCAGAGCGTCGGCGGTGTGGTCAGTCAGACAGTGGGAGGCGGCGGCGGTCCACAGCATCAATTGCAACGCATAGTGTCCCGGTGCAAGTGTGAATTCTTCTATGTTGGTTACGGGCAGACCTTAGATGTGGGCTCTGTAGACCAAGTGCCAGCTCCGCCTAGAGAAGAAGTCAGCCCCTGGGAGAGGAAGGATCTAACCGCAGCCGACGCGTTTACCTTGATGCATCATGATTTAGATGTGTGCACCAATTCATTGCAATATGCGATGATCCTGGACATAGTCAACAATTTGTTACTATATGTGGAACCGAGGCGGAAAGAGGCCTCGGAGAGATTGCAAAGGATGAGATTCCAGTTGCAGTTACATTCCGTCGAGGATCAAAAGAGACCGATACAGCAATTACAAAACACGGTGCGCGGTTTGGTGGCAAAATTGAGACGGTTGGAACGCGAAACATACTTGGTGCAGAAAGCACTGGCTGACGAGTCCAGTCCAGAATTACTGACTAAGATGGAACGTTTGGAAGCGAGTGTATTTGAATGCAAAGAACAACTTGGTGCCAAGGCGGAGGAATTGGACGTCATGTTGAGTTGTTACAAAGAAACCACTGCGCCAGCGACGGCGTCAACTACGCTTAAAGACAAGCCGGCCGCAGTAGCCAGGGTAGCCGAGATTTGCTTTAAACACGCACAATGGAGGCTAACGGATGCGGACGGTCAGTTGGGTATCGCTGATCTTATTTTAACAAATTTTCTTTACACGAAAACTAGTAAGACCGATGACTCGGTGGAACATCTACTGGAGCTGGGATACGTCCGGATGACAAATTTACTACCAAATCAGATTTATACGGAAGTACTTGTACCCACGGAGTTACAGAGCAACATGCCTGTAGACCGACAAAGAGCTCTTCGAGTCTTTTGCAGAGAAAAGGCGCCGGTAGCAGGGATTTCCGTGAAGGAACATTTTGAAATCAATGTAGTGCCTCTTACAATAGGTAAATAAATGTATAGCTTGTGTCAAATACAGCGGAGTCTCCTCCTATATTAAATTTGAATCGTATTTCATTTTTCTTCGCACAGGTTTAACAAAAAAGTTCTTCAATACTATGCTTAAATTTTGCTTCCCTGAGAGAGATCCAGAAGGCATAGAAGAAGCACCAGCACCACAACGTGATTCATCCTTCTACGTACCCATCGAGAGGAGAGACGATGTAGAGAAAATGAAGGAAAGAGCAGACAAGAACAAATTGTTTATATATATTAAAATACCGGAAGTACCTGTTCGTGTATCATACAAGGTAACATTTTGAGATGAAAAAAAAATTAAATATTTGTTACTTTTATTTACGAATTATTTTAAAAAATCCAATACTATTTTTGTATATAGGGAAACAAAGAAAAAAATCTTGAAGACGTACGTGACTTTGCGCTGGTCATACCGACTTTGGAATACCATAATGTGACATGGACATGGCTCGATCTGCTTTTGGCCATGAAGAGCGATTCCAGGCGTGTAATACTAAGCCAAGCCATTAAACAAAAATTGCAAATAAAACCAAGAGGACCACCCGAGGAATCTACACCACAGGAAGAAGATAAGGCTCGCCTTTTGTTAGGTACCAGACATCTTCCTGGGGACGCAAGGAAAAAAAGCGTGTTTAAATTTAAGTAATTTATACATTTGATGACTTATGTAACCATAGTAATTTATTTCTCGTAGTATTGGTAAACAAAATGTTCGCAAACTTATGTTTATCATCTAATTAAAATGTAAATAATAAATTTCAAGTTACTGTATAATGTATAATATAAAAAATATAACATGTGTGAGTGTATATAGGTATGTATACATACATACATACACTGTTGTAAAAATCTGTGTTTTTATCTTTTTCACAACGTCTATGATAATCAAAAGAATTGAAAAGATGTGATACTTGTACAGAAAAAAAAAAATGTATAACATCTTGCAGTTCCTTTTATCATTTTTTGTTTGTTTTTGTCTATTATGCTAATATGTTTTATATCTGTCATAATAATCTTAGCAGCAATCAATTACTATCGAGAATTAAAAAGTATTTAGAAAATTTTCTACAGAATAAACAGTTTCATATTTTATAAAACAAATCTATTTTTATTTAAATAAATTAATTTTGTATTTTTACATACACATGTGCTCATATATATATATATACACACACATACTTAATATAATACTAATTACTTTCTTGATTAATTCTCCATATTAATGTACAGTTAACTTTATAAGCCGGTAAGTCTCGTAGATTATTTACAATGTCGAAGTGTACTTTGTTTAATCATCTACAAAATATATACAAAGTTAGAGAGTTATTAGAGGTGCCTCTGCATTTTTCTTTGCATGTCTCCATGCATTCAGATCTGCTAAGATTCGTCTGCCATATGCTGTATGAAGCTCACGAAAAGTTATTCTAGTCCTAGGTACGTTCTCAGTTCTACCAGGCGCTGATCTAACACTCTGAGAACGATGATGAGAATCTGGTCTATTGAATGGATTATGTCGTTGTCTTGGTGGAGCTTTAGGAGATTGTTGAACAGGTGTGGAAGCTGTTTCTTCTTCCACAGAATCTAATTGACGTTGCAATTCTGTCACCATAAGTTTCATATAATCATAACTGGCACATGCCAACGCCTTCATCCATTGTTCCATAGATTCCTAAATATCATTATCTGTCATCAAACTGCATTTACTAAGCACAAGTATAGAGTATTAGAACATCTGTTTACCTGAGACTCTGCAGCTAAAACATAACTCCTGTTGTTTGGTCCATGAAAAACTATCTTGAAGCCAAACTGTTCTTCATCCTCTGCCAGTTCAATCGTACAGCCTTCGAGCACAACCATGCCTACTGGCTCTTTGTCACCGCGGCGATCAAAATAGAATAATATATTTCCCTTGAGAACAAACCATCGCTTCTGATATCCACGATTTAGCTCTCCACGTTTATTCAACCAACCTTCACGATCTACTGGCGTTGCAGAGGTTGCAAATGCTACCATATTCTTCTCATTAATTTTCATGGTTTTTAACAACGTATGATTCAAAATTTTCTGCTAAACAGCACGCAATCAAATCCGACTTAATATCGAATTGCGTTTAGAACAGTTCAGAACCGTGATGTATAAAATGTATATCTTGATGTATCTTTTATATCTGATTACATGGTTCGCGCCTCCGTAAAAGTAGGGATAGGCGATTCACATTCAATTATTTTGACAATTATTTAAAAAAAAAATCGATTTTTGACTTGATGTTTTTTCTCGATTATTTCCTAAATAACAATTTTTTGTTTGATGGATTAGAATTGTTACTAAACTTTTTTGTGTTAATGTGACGGTTCTACACACTGGATGCGATGAACGATTAGCTACGAACGATATTCAATGAAAGCTCTTTCATGCCCGTTTCCACCAAAGTAGATGTGGGTTTAACTTATTGTTTCTTTTTCTAATTTTTAAAACTAGAAAAGAAAGTAGAGCAAATTGAATCGAGATTAAGGTCTACATTGGTGGAAATGGGTATTAATGGCCTAGTTTACGGTTTAGTTTGATAAGGTGTACTATAGTAACTTTCTATTGAATTATTTTAATTTCAGCGATACATGTAAACATATACGTGATATATGTATTTCATTAATCATTTTAATGCATATTGTATCGCTTTAGTATATCATTTTTTAAATACATTGCTGAAATTAACATAATTTGCTAGAAAGTCACTAGTTAGGTACGCGTATCGAGCGTTCGGTGTTAAAGGGGTCACTAATTCCGATCGGAATCCATTCTGAACATTTTCATAATAAGTATCCCGACCTTCTCACTTCTTTGGATTTTCCCCTCACCCTTCACTGCTCTTTGGACTTTACTCCGTTCAATTAAAAAGGATATTTCACACACGTTCCGTTCAGGTACTTCGTACGTTCATGTTTGTACACCAAAAAACAAAGTAACCTAACGAATCCGATTGGCTACGCTATATTGCAATTATACCTTTTAAAATGAAGCGTGGATCAGCGCTTGCAACTTAAGAAAAAAAATTCATAAAGTCGATGATGGTGATGAACAGTGATGACCGATGGTAACTAGTCAGACCTGTCAGGTTAGACTAGTTGAGACGATTGAAAATTTGCGTTGTGTGTCGAGTATTGCGTATTACGTTATTTTTTTTAACAAAATTGCTATCTAAAATTGTGAGAAGAAATTTTTAAAGATGGGAAAGGGATTCAATAATTACATGTGCAAAAAATTCTTTCATCCGGCATCACGAGACAATTTGAAGCGAGTACGAATATGTGGTCTAACCTCTTTTTACGATAACGGAATATTTTTAATTCTCTTATTATATCTTTGTAAGCAAATCATTGTGTTAAATGCATATTGTTCTATCAGGTATGGATGGCAGAACAACAAGCAGAGGCATACAAGAAGAAACAGGAGGAGCTGCGAGTGCAGTATGAGAAGGAGCAAGATCTTCATAATAACAAGTAATTAACGTAAAAATATCATGTAACGTGCAGTTTTGTTCTTAATGCAAAGTTTCTTTCAGGGCGCTACTCAGCAAAGAAAGTAAGGATAAACTTAGTGTCAATTTTATGTATGAACCACCTCCCGGAGCAAAGAAAGAGCGGGAAAAGGAAGACAACGAGCCTGAGTACAAGTTTGAATGGCAGCGGAAATATAATGCTCCAAGAGAGAGCTACTGCAAAGGGGATAGTGAAATTCGTGATCAACCCTTTGGTATACAAGTGAGAAATGTACGGTGTATCAAATGTCATAAATGGGGACACATAAATACAGGTATATTAAAATTTTAGCCAGTAAGATACAAATATGTTTAAACAAATGTTGATAATCAAATATTTTTATGATATAACTTTAATAATAAAAAATGACCAAAGACAATATAGAGTATTGATATTTATAAAATTTAATGTGTTAAACTCATTAAAATTTCAAGTGAGTTTCAACTAGTTTCAACTTTACAGAAGAGAGTCTTTATCAGTTGTATATAAAAAGTTATAATACAATTAATTCACAATGTCTCACAGTATCGAATTTACCAAAATCCTTGGTTGATATCTCTTGTTCAATAAAGAACGTAATAGTCTTGATTATCCCAAAATTTCAAGCAAATTTTCATGATCTTTCATTAATTATTAACATTAACTTTAACAAGAAATTTACCAAGCATGTTACACATTAGATATTGCCAACAGCTGAGTGAAATAAAAAATATTTTTAGATAAGGAGTGTCCATTGTACAGTCAAGCAATGAGTGTTGTAATGGCAAATAATTCGCAGACGCCATCTGCCCCAGACACTATGACTCTTGTGCAACAAATGCGAGAAGATGGTCTAGCTTTGAAAAAGTAAATACAAGTGTTATTTTCATGTGTTGTATTATATAGTATTTAAATTAGTTTTGTTAAATAAACTATATCAAAAATAAATTAGTATTGGCAGCGCATATAAGTTTTTTATGCTATTAGTTTTTTATATTATAGATCTGCATTGGATGCACAACAACATTTACGAGTTCCAGAACACGAACATCTTATGGTTTCTGAAGACGAGGAACAATCAGAATTGTTATTTTTAAAATCTCTATCAAAGAAAGAAAAGAAAAAATTATTATTGTAAGTTAATTCAACTACATAATATTGGAGTATTCTCTTACTGAATCATAATATATAAAGTATATTTATAAATTGATGATTAAACAAGAGAATTTATTTTTATAGGAAATTACAGCTTTTAGAAAGAAAGAAACTTAAAAAAGATAAAAGAAGATTAAAAAAGATAAGAAGCAGTAATAAGAAGTCTAGTAGTAATAGTAGTAATACTAACACCAACAGCAGCAGCAGCAGCAGTAGTAGTAGTAGCAGTAGCGGTAGTAGCAGTGATAGTAGTAGTAGTAGCAGTATTGACTCGGAAGATTTTCATTCCAAGAGGGACAAAAAAAAAAGGAAAAAAGCCGACTTTAAAGAAGAGAATATTTATAAGATTTACAAACATAAAAGGAAACGGAGTCATGACAAACACAACTACCATAGAAATGCTAAACATGATAAACATAAGGATCGTCATAATAGAAAGAAAAAAGTTAAACACTGCCATAAGGATAGAAACAATTCAAAACATAATAAAATGCATAAAAAGTACCATAATTAATCACTTTAATAATACTCGTTAAATGTAACTGTATCATTTATGAAATTAATAATAATAAAAAGAAACGTTTATTGCTTAAAAATGTATTTTGCAATATAATTTTATATTGTACCTTTTCAAGAGACAATTATCATGAGAACAGGTATGAATATAAATCAATAATATATCAACGATATGTGCATATTAACAGAATAATTTGAATCAATTACAGTAATTTATTCAATGACAATGAAACATTTCTAATAACAATTTGTAATACAAACATTAATTATATAAGTTTTATTATAATAGCATGCACTTTATTACAAATCAATGAAGCGCTTTAATATATTATAGATATTTTTATAATCATGTGAGATATATATATATATAATATATATACACATATATATGTTTAATGTATATAATGCAATATATATATGTATATGTATATCTTTCGCAAAGAGATATATAGAACCATTGGTAATGTATGTATACATATATGTATGCACACATGTATATACATGTGTGGTATGCATACATATGTGTGTGTGTGGATATATGTATATTACAAATATTAGACAGATTATTTTCTTATTTTTTATACGGCACGCATTACTAAAAAAAGTCATAGATAATATAAGTTTTTTCTCACTCTATTTCGTTTCTAACACGGCTAGTAACAATCCGTTCTTACATATACATTTTTACATATAATGTATGAATGTATATTATATACGTAATACTAGCCACGTTAGGCTTTGAACACTTGGGCACTTTGAAATCTGCATGATTATTTCTCTTGCAAATGGATTACACTTTCAATGTGGTACAATACTATAACTTTGGGAAGTAATCGGATTGGCAGCTATATGTACAATTAATCTATTATATATATTTGATTATATATTTTAGAAAACGCAACAAAACTCAATATATATATATATATATAATGTATGTATACA